ATATATATATATATATATATCTTATATATATATATATATGCATATATATATGCATATACGGTGTTTTTTTTTTAATTTTTTTTTTATGTGCATTGGTGTTTTGTCTGCATGTATGTCTGTGTGAGAGTGTCAGATCTTGGGAGTTAGACAGTTGTTAGTGGTTGCTGGGAGTTGAACCCAGGTCCTCTGGAAGAGCAGTCAGTGCTCTTAACCACTGAGCCATCTCTCCAGCTCACATGTATGTATTTTTAAGTAAACAAAAGAATCCTCAGAGGCCAAAATGGTGTTAGATCCTGCAAACTAAAGATACAGACGTTTGCTAGCTGCCTTGCAGATGCTGGGAATTGAACACTGGTTTTCTGGAAAAGCAAAGCTATCTTTCCAACCCCTATTTATTGTTATTTTCAATCAGGGTCTTGATATTTAGGCCTGCCTGGCCTTCATTTGGGGGCTCTGGTCCAGCGCTGCAGTGAACAGTGTGCCACCACAGCCATCCATGCACTGTTCTTGAATGGACTGAGTAAGTTTGGACCTGATTTTTGTCCCTGTTTGTCACTGTATCAAGGGTGCCCTTGTCTCCACAAGACAGGCCAGCAGATGCTATGTAGATCAGGTTGGCCTTGAACTTATAATATTCTTTCTTCCTCCTGTGTGATAGGATTACAACTGGGAACCACATCCTAGATGATTCTAGTTCTTTCCAAACGCTTTCTTTTGCCCTTCAGAATTCAGCTCCACGTGTGCCTCCTTTTGTAGCACTGCAGGACTTGTCATTAGCATCCACGTCATACTTGAGTTGAAAATCTCCCCCCAAATAGGGCGAGACAGGGACACAGCTTACTTGGTAGAGTGCTTGTCTAATATAAATGCAGGTCTGGGTCTGATTCCCAGCACCTCAGAAAACAGTGTGCGCGCACACCTGCAGTGCTAGCACCTGGCAGGTAGAGGCAGGAAGAAGCTCACGATCATCCTAGGCTGTAGGAGTAAAGATCAGTTTGAACTACATTAGACACTGCCTATAAAAAAAACAAAAACAAAAATAAGGCTGAAGCGGTGGCTTAGGTAAAGACACTTGCCTCCAAACTGGACAGCCTGACCTAATTCCATCCCTAGATCCCACACGATGGAAGGAGACAACTGAATCTTACAAGTTGTCCTCACCTCCACATGTGCACCCTCCCCCTCTTCCTCCAACCAAGTAAAGGTGTAAAAAGTTGTTTTGTTTTTTAATTTAAAGAAACCTTCCAACATCTTGTATTTAGAATTCTAAATTCCTGCAGCCAGTAAGACGCACAGGTTAGTAAACCTCTACTCACAGCTGTGCCTGTGGTTATACCCGAGGCACTTGTTTGGGCAACCTTAATTGTCTCCATGTGTTATACCCTTACTTTATCCTGCTTTACTGTTGTAGTCTTTATCATCAACCAAAACCACCTGTTTTTTGCCACTGTCATTGTCCAGTATGTCGAATGCACAGTATACATCTAGTCCAGAAAGTTGTAACTGTCCCGGATCCTCAGTTTAAATGCTTGTGGAGAGGCTAGAGATGACTCAGTGGTTAAGAGCACTTGCTGCTCTTACACAGGACCTGGTTTTAGTTTCCAGCACACACATGGCAGCTCAACCATGTTTAACTCTAGTTCCAGGGGATCCAACACTCTTCTGGTTTCAGAGGCACCAGGCATGTAAGTAGTACATATACATACATGCACGTAAAACACTCATACATGCCGGGTGGTGGCGGCACATGTCTTTAATCCCAGCACTCAGGAGGCAGGTGCAGGTGGATCTTTGTGAGTTTGAGGCCAGCCTGGTCTACAGAGCGAGGCACAAAGCTACAAAGAGAAACTGTCTGGAAAAAACAAACAAAAACCACACTCATACACATAAAATGCTAGTTGAGGGGCTAGCACTGTCATCCAAAGCCCTGGGTTCACTAAGGAGGCTGAGGCAGGATTGAGGCCAGCCTGGTGTACAGAGAAATAGAGCATCGTGGTTTCAGACACGTAGGTCCTGGGCTGAAGAACAGGACTGTCACAGTAACGAATGTCAGTGACTGACAGTACATGAAGATAAGTATTCACATGACTTCTCATTGTAGGTCCTGCATGTCCAATATGGGATGTATGTCTGGCCCTGTGCTGTCGTCCTGGCCCAGTACCTGTGGTTTCACAGAAGATCTCTGCCAGGCAAAGCCGTCTTAGAGGTAACAGGACCCCTTAAGTTTCCAGAATGCTGGGCCATATTCACATATACCTTCATGCTAGCTATTAAGTCCTGTTAGGCATTTTTAAATCAGGTAGTTTGGCTGGCTTTGAAATTCCAAATAAGTCTTCACATTTTTAAATTTTTAAGTGTCTGACAGTGTGGTACACACTTTTAATCCCAGCACTCAAGAAGCAGAGGCAAGCAGTTTAAGACCTGTCTAGTTTTCCAATATAGCCAGAGGTATCCAGAGAAACGCTTGAGAATCTGGACACTGACTTGAGCTGTAAAGGTAATACCAGTTGGTGGCACAACTGCTGTGCAATAATCCACCTGTTCGGGTGCAGTCAGCTGCTGCTGCTTCAGATTATGGGAACCACAGTAGGTGGCATTTCAAACTGTTTTGAGATGTGGAAGCAACATCTTTTAATATAGCAGGTGTATACTGCCATTTCTTAGCAAATAAACCAGGTATTTTCAGGTTCAAATTTTAGACTGCTTGTTGCCAGAGAGGCAGAGCTACCAAGCTTTAGTCCCAGCCCTCAAATGGGGAAGCAGGTAGACTGAGTTCAAAGCCAGCCAGGAAATAGACAAACTGTCTCATCTGGGGTAGAAAGCTAAGTCATTCTTAAATTCCATTTTCATTAGATTGGCGCTGGAGTGAGTCTTCCAGGGATTTTGGCTGCCAAATGTGGTGCTGAAGTAACACTATCTGACAGCTCAGAACTGCCCCACTGTTTGGATGTTTGCTGGCAAAGCTGTCAACTGAATGAACTGACACAGGTACAGGTTATAGGACTGACATGGGGCCATATAACGAGGGACCTACTGTCTTTGCCACCACAAGACATCATTCTTGCGTCTGACGTGTTCTTTGAACCAGAAGGTAAGCTTAATCTGCACCCCCCCAAACCTAGCACAGATGTATTAAACTCACTGAAAAAAGTTCTCCCCACCACCAGACTTTGAAAGCATTTTAGCCACAGTCTACTTTCTGATGCAGAGGAACCCCCAAGTTCAATTTTGGTCTACCTACCAGGTCAGAAGGTGAGTATGGATCATTTCAACTTTAATAATAATTTTAAAAATGCACTAAGGAAAATAAAGCATCAGTCATCAAAACCATTTATTTCTTTTAAGTGCGGACTGGTCACTTGAAGGCTTGCTCTTCAAGTGGGATATGAAATGTGTCCATATTCCTCTGGAGTCTTTTGATGCAGACAAGGAAGATATAGCAGAGTCTACCCTCCCAGGAAGACATACTGTTGAAATGCTGGTGGTCTCCGCAAAGAACAGCTCCTGAATTGTACCTCAAGCTGTTCAGGGACAGTGTCAAGACTGAATAACCTGGCATAAAGAAGAGCTGTCTCCAGCAAATACAGTGGGCCTGAAGATGGCTTTAAGACTGTGATGATATCATGCCCAAGAAATTCATGGGCAATGTAACTTTGAACAAATTAAACACTTAAAAATGGACTTGGACTCCTCTCACTAAGAGAATGTGACGCTTTTAAATCCTCAAGAAAATGAGTTTAGGTCTAAGTGGCATACTCCTACTCAACACTGAAGGTAATTAACTACATAGGTCTTTAGATTGACCCGAGGAAAAAAAGACCAGGACATCATCTCAAAAAAGCTAACACCAAGAAACACTTTAATCAAACTACAGAAACAATGGTTATAGTACAGAATATTCATAAGCAAAAGATACACCATGTTTTAAGTACTTACAAAGTTACAAACCATTTGCTTCCTTAACATTTTCTGATTAAGTTCATACATGAGGATGATCAGATTTACCATTTTTTTGAGGGGAGGGGGGTGTGTATTTATCATCAGCTAGATGTGCTCACTGTATGCTCCATTATTTATATGCAAGGCCCGGGTGACTGGAAGTGCAGTTGTCAGGCATTTTAATAAACTGGACAGGCATTTGTTTCTGCACAAGAAGGCATCTTTACACAGGAGCAATCAGGAGAAAACAGGAAACAGCCAAGCACTCTGCACTGCAACACGCCACCTTAACAGCTAACCAGCATTACTCAACTGCTACACAACTGCGCCTAGTGCACAAAAATACACAAGAGAAGAGATTAGAATTGGGTTTGGTAAACAATCCTTTCAAAAAAAAATTAAGTCTTTTCACCTGAAAAGTCTTTATACAAATTTGGGTTCAGATTATCATTTAGACCTGAAGGTAAATAGCATATATAAACGAATTACACCAACTTTCGTAGGTTTTTAATTTTAAGGAGTGAAGGCAATGTTGAGTCAATCTGCTGACAGCTTTAGGCTGTGTGTAATGGCTGCAAACGTTTCCTTATTAAGTCAGGAGGCCACAAATTAGGTTACCAATCTGTTTAATTTCAAACAAAAAAAGTCAGCACTATAAACAAAAACGAAATTTTACCTCAAATATCCAATCCAATAATGAAATCTGAAGTCGCTCACCTCACTAAATTACAAGAAATTTGAATAACAGCAACAAAATGGCACATAAAATGAAGTTTGCCACCTGAGGCAGATTAAAACAAGTAAAAAGTTAGACAAATGTTACAAAATAACCTTTTCAATAGCCAGTTGCTTGTTCCAAGGACTCTTCCATGGACCGATGGACTGAGTTGTGGTCCTTTCCTCCAGAGTCCTCTGTTAAGCCGTCTGCCGATCCATCTAGATTTGGAAAGAGAAAGGTTCAGCTTACCTTCTACCACTGCAAAGGCACCAAAGTGCAAATGGTTTCAGTTTCAGGCCCATACTCACTAAGGCTCGGGTGAAACAAGTAGGTTACACAAGGTTCCACCTGGCCATCAGTTTTTTAAAGGCCCAAATGAGAATTCTCCTAAAGGCTACCACCAGCACAAGTTTGAATGTGATTCTTGGTCAAATAACCAAGGCAAAAAGAAAAATGGCAAGGGGGGGAAAAAAAAGAAAAAGCGGGAGGGCAGGGTGGGGCTGTATCCAAACAAAACTTGCTATCAGAAATTAGTCTACACTTTAAGATGTTTGAAAATGAAACGTTGGCAGTTGAGGATGTTCTTAATCAGCTACTTAGGGCCCTTTCCTTTAAAAAAAAAATAGGACCAAACAATTTGAGAGTTAAAGACACACTATCCTTTCCCCACCCAGTGCAATACCTGTAACTTTCTTTTGGGGTTCCAAAAGTTCATTGCTTCTTAATTGCAATTCATGTGCCACATCCATTAGAGTAAGAAGTCCCAGTCAGTACAACAACAGTTGAACTGATTGTTTTTCTCTATGAGGATAGTGCATCTTTAACATTTAAAGACAAACCTGCTCCAATACACGCCCACAGAAACTGGTCCCTGGAGGATCAGCCAAATCAGTTAAAATCTGCAATACTGGCCAATATTCTTTTATCAAACAGGAGACCGCAGCTTTAAAGGGGAAAATGCAGACGTTGGATAAAAACAGCAAGAAATAGTCATTTTCATTAATAGGTCTCAAACAGTATGAAACAGCCATTATTATCTAAGCTTTACACAATCCTCTCTGAAGACCCCTCTTCAGCATCACTCCCAAAGCCGAGTAACTTCAGAGCAGTATCTTTAACACCAGGAGTCACTCTTACGCTAGCATGGCTCAAAAAACCTACTTCAAACCCCACGGGACTCAGGGTGGGTCTCGGGTTCCTGCAGACATTACCATTTTCTTAAGAGGACACTGATCCTTCTTCCTCTGGAGAC